AAATAGTATATAATATGAAGAGAGGAGTACATAGTAAAAAAAAAAAATTATATTTTACATTGGAAGAGTTTTTTTTCTTATTCTTATTAGAAGTAATTTGGAAAAATGCGCTGTTCACCTTACCCATCGTTATCTTTTTCAATATTTAATTTTTACTTTTTCTTTTCCTTTGTAAATTTATCAATGATTCGAATGTTTTTATCAAAGTTGCAAATGCTATATCTCCTTCAAATTTTCATTCACAAAGTGACAATAATTGTATGTAATAAGACGATATAATATTGTATATAATATTATTATAATTTGTGATTAACTTATCAATATTATATAAAAAAGATAACATTTTATGTGAAGAATTATCTCTTTTGTATCCGATGCATAATAGCAAGAAAAAAAGAAATGTCTGATCATAATAATCATATTTATATTTATAGTCTTTATATATAGACAAATATTCATATGGTCGTTTTTCTACCTCATAGAAAAAAAAGCACCAAAATGATTAAACAAAATGTTTCGATCTAAACTAACTTTGATTGTAGTGTAATAATACATATCAGTTTTAAAAGTGTATCGCTTTATCATTTAATACATATCGTAGCATTATCCTCTATTTTTAAGTAAATGTAATTAATAGAAACAAACATCCATATTATGATGGATGAGGTGAACACGATAAATTTATATAAATTAACGAAATTGCCATTAATAAATATGCTTTCTTAGATAAAGTGCAAAGTATATTTTTTTCTTATTAAAATTCTTTGTATTCTTCATCATTGTATAAGATGAATCTGCAGTATTAATTATATCATTATATTTTCAATTGCAAAATTGAATAATAATTTCTATCGTGACATATGTTATTACATACAATTGGAAACTTATTTCACATAATCGAAAACCATATCTTATTCTGTAGATAAAACGACGTGAATTAACGATAGTAAACGTTGATAAACGAATGTATAAAATAAAATAAGTACACGCATACACCTAAGAAAAAAAATTACATTCGATATTATGTATGACAGTTAACGTCGATTACTGCGGAGTACAAGTTTTAGATCACGTTGTGTGGTTTAACATTACTGAGGAAGTTTTAGAATATCTGCGACATTAAAGATATGATAAATGTAACTATTTAATAAACCCGATATATATATATATATATATATAACTAAGCGATACTCACAACAAAATTAATATAATAATCCTATATTAATTGTATTAAGAAGAATGTTGTTGTTTATAGAAAATATATTGTGAAAATAAAATGAAAAATAATTTAAAAAGTCATAAAAAATGCTCCCAAGATAATGTAAATTCTATAGCTTTGGAAGGAATCACGTGTTGATGAATAAATATTACAACGCAATTAGAAATCATTGTAGCTTTATAAATTACAGTTCGCTTAAAAAGAATTTCTTTTCTATTTCTGTTTTCAAAGAAATATTATTATTTCTCATGCATTCCTTGTTTCTATTAGATCATTCATACCTTATTAAATGTTACGAACATTTCCATATCTTTTCCCAAAATATCTTTGTACAAATTTATAAAAGTTTGTTGACAAAATTTCTAGTCTATGTCCAAAATAAAATACTAAATGCCATGAAAATACAACTTAATGCCACGTATGGACTTTTCCGTTCTCCAATTCGTCCACATTTCCAAAACAAGCCAAGGAACCTGATAATAAAAATCATTAACATATTTATATATAATTATTATATCTAATAAAAGAATTTCTATAAGTAATTCCAAATAAAAGATGAGTACAAGTTAACGTATAATATATAAATACGCTTAAAGATCAATGAAATCATTATATATTTTATGCAATTATCTGACACATGTAAATTCAAACGTGTAGAATAAAATTATTTGTACTCACCCAACTTTTCCTAAACGATTATCTAAAAAACTTGGAGCGATAGATCTGATGTAAGTACAGGTACATATTAAAAGTAGTATAACGCACACTAGACTCTGAAAATTAAATATTGCAGACTGCCAAATATGGCAGAAATTAGTAAACGTTTTTTTCTACACTGAGACAAAATTATTTGTTCACATGATTATTATAAAAAATTAAAATAAATATTAATACGATTTTATGATATGAGACATTTTGGATAAAATAGGTTATATTACATTATAGCGTCAAATCATGTCTAAACTTTAATATATATCTTCATTTTCATACTTCATAATGAATAAATTAATATTTTATTATTATTTACCATTGTGATGAAAAAATAGACAATCCACCGTCATCCAAATATAGATAATAATAGAAGGAGAATAACGTACACCGATTCAAATGTAAAATATCGAGTCAACTTTGCAGGCTTATCAACAGCTTATACCATACAATTTTCTTCATGTTGTATTATCATACGTACAAACACTCACACGTGTTTAAAAGTTTGAAAATAGTTTTATATTATAATTAGTCATGACTTCAACTAACAATTTAATTACAGAATGTGGTTGTAATATTTGTAAAAGTGTGCGTTTAAGAATAGATCAAATATTTTGTGTATTAGATATATATGGCTGGATGCTAGACTTTTATGTAGTGGTACGTAACCACAAATTAACTTATGTGTTTTCATATTTGCATATAGAAATTAGATTATTTAATTTTTTAGAAAAGTTAAACGTTTAATTAAAAATAATTTGTATAACATTAGCATTAGATTAATATTTACATATATAACTTTATAACATTTATTATAATTTTATCTATGTAATTATTTTTTTATAGGATTTTTATAGAGAAAAATTATGGGACAAATTACCAAAAAGTTGGAAACTTGCATTACAGGATATACCTCTAGACGAATTTGGATTATGGTTATCAGGAGAATGTTCTTGGTATAATTTACAGATTGATTTTAATTCATATAAACAAATATTTCTATATGCGATAATAAGTCTATGATTAATAATGTATCTTTTATAGTAGAAGAATATTACCTTTGTCGTTACTGGCATTACGTAAAGTTATAGATGATCTACAATTGAATAGAAATTACAAAGGTTTGAATAACTTTTTGCAATGCGGAAGATTGGTAAAATTAAAGAAAGAATCTAAAAAAGTAACTTCTTTATACTCGTCGGATAACAAACAAAAACAATTAGGAGACTCGGATTCTGCTTCTTCACAATTTATAAAATTATTCAGAAAACATGTGAAGAAGAAAAAGACGCATGAGATAGAACAAATGGCAGAGGTGATTATTTTTAAATAGAATCATAATCATTAAGATCATTTATATACAATATATATATATATAAAACATAGATATGCGCACATTATGCCTACAAGTCAGACTGCAAATCTGTAGTAGATGTTGGAGCAGGACTTGGACATTTAGCTAGAATGTTAACTTGCCGATATGGATTATGTGTAGCTTGTATCGAACAGGATGAATTATTATCAACTAAAGCTAGGTAAACTTATGCCAATTTTCTTTACATTGTTGTTATTAAAATAGATTCTACTATGAATGAAATTTGTAGATTATACGATGAAGAATTGTTGATATCCGTACGTAAACATATGCCTAATTTCTCTCCTCTTAAATTGGAACATATATCAGTGAAGTTAGAAACTTCTGATCATGCAAGAGCAAAAATAAAAAAACATTTACACGAAGTATTTACAAATGTTTATAACATTAATACAGAATCTCTTAAGTATGGAATTATTGGATTACATCCATGTGGGGATTTAGCGTCAATTCTCTTAAATCTATATTCGTTAAACAAAGAAGCAAGATTCATGTGCATCGTGGGATGTTGTTATATGAAAATGACGTTAGAGTATTTATCCTATTTATTTATGTTATTATATGAAAAAGGATTCTTTTACATATTTAGATTTTTTTATTAGGCCTAATAACGGAAACAAACAGAAAGGATATCCACTTAGCTCGTACAAGTCGTTTAGGAATCGCAAGCTTTCATATAATGCTTTGGAAGTGGCTTGCCACGCTATTGAAAAGCATTGCGATAAATTGAAGAACAACAACTATACAGATTTAATAGTATGACATAATTTCGTATGAAAAATTATAATAAAATTTCTCTATGAATTAATAATTATTTGTGTGTGGCTTTTTAAGGTACACACCTACAGAGCAGTTTTAGAAAATATACTCACGGAAAGAGATTTGTTGCCTTCCCATAGCCAATTAAAAAATGTTAAAGTAACAGAAGATATGACGTTTAAACAGTTAAGAAAAAAAAAAAAAGATTTTAAAAATTATAAAATATATATTACATAATTTAAGAAGTGTTAAATTTTGCATAAATATTATTCACTTTCAGATATTGTTTTCTTGCCACTCGTCATCTTCGATCTGACTTACAGCCAAAGGATTCGGATCTTGAAGGACCGAAAGTAGAACATTATTTAGATTATTGGTTACAAATCGTTATATTTTCTTCTCTTAGAATTTTACTAGCACCATTGGTAGAAACATTAGTACTTTTGGATAGATTTTTGTATCTTTCAGAAAGAAACTTAAATCCGATATTAAAACCGGTATTTGATGCAAAATTGTCACCGCGTAACTTAATTCTAATTTCCGTAAAAGATCATGAAGAAATATGAACAATGTAACAATTTAAAAACTTCAACATAAAACATAATTTATTCTATGAAAAATCTTTTTGCATCAAGCAGTATGTACAGATGAGCCATGTGGTTGTTTTATCCAAAATCCCCATTTGGCAAATGTTTCACCATTCCATTCTTCATTTGGACCACGAAATACTTTTATTTTAACACGTGGAATTTTCTCTTTAATGAAAGTAATCAAAAAATCTTTATTCAAATATAGATATTAATTAAAATTAATGTCGTGTAAAGCTAATCAATATTATTCAAAAATTTACCATATTTTTCATAATACGATTTGTCTGGCTTATTATCATTCGATGATGCATACATTACAAACCACAAAAAACAGCATATGAAAATTAATTTTTTTAAGAATAACATGACATTAAATCAACGAATAATTATATTATTACAGCAATGTTAAATGACTATTACTATGGAATTTGAAATGAGCACACAAACCTTATATACACCGACGCAGAATATTCAGAGCATGACATTCAACAAAAATTTAATTTGTGGTTTTATCTATAACTTTTTACCAAAGAGAGAAAGTTGTATTCTCTAGATAAAAATGAAATTGAATTCTAGAGAAAGGTTTGATTAAAATAATTCAACCGAAACAGGTACAAGTGAAATACAATTTCATAAAATTTTGATAATTTATATATTATTTGTAATCTCCATTTTCTTTTTAATAAGGGAAGCACCTGATTATATTATTTTGTGAAACTCCTATACATACATTCAAACTACACGAAAAAACATTGAACAAGTTGACTTTTAATGCATCGTTGTTTAAAGATGGCACTTCTAACAAAGCGATTTTAAATCTAAATGAAAAAATGGTTCTCAGTTTTCAAAATTTTTTCATTGTATACATTTATTATCATCATCATTATTGGTATTATTATTACTATTATTATTATTATTATTATTATTATTATTAATATTATTATTATTATTATGCAAACGCATAATTACAACGTAGCACTATTTCAGGATGATATAACTTTGATCAGAAATATTAGAAATTAGTTTCTATGTATGATCATCTATATAATTGAAAAATTTTTATTTTTTTTTTTTTTTTTATGAAAACTTAAAGATATATTCTTGATATAGTTACGTATATCGATACTACATATTGTACATATGTACGTATTTATCTTTGTTGCAGTATATATTTTAATTAGAGAGCGAATAGAGAATTAATTATTGTCTTTGAATACAAAGCCTCTTATCATTAATCACAGATACAAAAATGAGAAAGGCTTTTTTTGGTACGTTCAATTGTGCAAGATACAGTAAAAGAAAAATAGATTTGCAGATTTTCAAATGATTTTACTGAATAAGAAAATTTTTTTGTATATATCTATGAAAAAGTGCTTAAAAAGAAAGAATGTTTAATTAGTCGTTATATTCACAGAGATAGATAATTCAAATATTTTTATTGTAGTACTAATAGTTATCACTTTAATAAATTTTAGATTATGTTTGAAACAATATCAAATTAGCTGTTCTTGCGTTTAGAAATAAATAAAATCATTGTCGAAAGTGAATTAACATTTAATTTTTACATCTAGCTTTCTCATGAATCATGTATGCAATATATATATATATATATATATATATATANTTAAATTTAATAATCCTTGAGAGACCTTAAAAATGTTAATACTTAACGGCTACAACTCTCAATATATAACGTTTAATATTATTAACAAAGATTCGTCTCGATCAATAAATCGCGATACATAATTATTATTACCATTTTGGAAAACATCATTGGAAGACAAGTTCAATTTGTGATTATTAATTAACAATGCCTATAATAATTAACATTTCGATAGCACAACATTATATATTTGTACAATTTAAACAAAAAATATCGATTCAATTTCATATGTGTAAGCTAACTTCAACAAATTATGTTATGTTAGATTATAATTGTAACTATTTCTAAGTGTTTTAATTGGAAATATAAACAAATCAATCATTATTTCGAATGAAAAATATCACGATTAAGTAACATATATATATATATATATATATGTAAACTAATTTAAAAATAATTTTATAATAGAAAAATTTAATTCCGTTCGTCTACCAAAAGTTAAAAATTATTATAACGCTTTGAATGTTCTCAAATTGAGAAAATCATTAGAAAAAAAAAAAATAAAATAAAGATAGTTAAATACTTAATCTATATGAAATTGTTGATATGCATTTAAATAATATTGTTGAAATGTATTCAATGAGAGAGAACATTCATTCTTTATCATTTTAATTATCGACGCAATCACGTAATACATCTACTTAAAACTAATTATAAGATATATATTCTAAACGGACTTTACAAACTGTGGAAGACGTTGGATTATTAGACTAAATTAATTTGTACAATTTTCTTGTACATATTACATACATAACAAAGTGCATTATTAATTTGCACTCGACGAATATTTGCACATTAATTTTATTTTATTATTTAACCTTCGATGGCACTTTCAATGCATCTACGTTTAGGCAAACTATCTTTTATATTCTATGGCACACAAACACGAGGGATAATTCTTTTTAAGTTTCTTTTTTTCTCTTTATATATATATATATATATATCTTTTGCAAGAGAGTATACTGTGTAATTGTGGCCATCGAATGTCATTATGGCGTGCTTCTTAGTCAAAGCATACTTAAAAATTATTAGGTACACAATCAGGATTATCAAATCCAATAACTCGTTCTTTAACGATTTTTACCTTTGACAGATTTTATATGCAATGTGGAAGACATCGATGCTTATAGTCTGACGATATGTAATCTAAATGAATTGTCTAAAAAGCTTTTTTATTATTGTTCCGAAAAGAAATGTTTAGTTTGGAAGGCTCTAAATTCATAAAATTTCCTTCTCTTATTTTTTAGACCTTTCTGTTTTCTTTTTTTTCTTTTTCTATTCTCAACGATCAAGGAATAATTTAATTTTTTGAAGCTATGAAATGTTGCCTCATTTCTTTTCTTATTTCTTTGTTATCTTGCATATTGTTAGATATGTCAGTTCTGGTTGAATTTAAATGTACAATATATCATCAAAATATTTCTAATTACGACAGAACCCTAAGCAGTATTAAATGGAAGACACTTTATTTGTAGAATTTCGACGAATCCAACTAGAATCATTTTGAAGATCGTTGGAAGAACCAGGATGCAACCAGGTGATAGAATAATCCGAGCATTTATTAAATGTTACTCATAAAAATTTGTCTATCTTTCTATTTCCAAAAGACACTACATACTTTGTAGTATACCGTTAGAATCGAATGAAAATTTGTGATTCAATGTCTCTCAAGCTTGAGATGAAATGAATGAAAAAATGAAAGCAATAAAAATAATATATGAAACATTTAAAAAGGTAAACCAATTTCAAAGGCATCGATCAAAGCGGTGCCAGAATCATATACACCAATAACTCCAAAGAGTATACCTAAAAAGATGACAAAACAATCATATGCCACTGCACTCCATTCCATGGAATTTCTTTTAAGTTTCAGATGAAAGTAGCAAGGCCATATGAAAGACAACATGGTCCCAGTAAAAGAGCCAATGAAACCCATGAGAATACTGAAATGTGGTATGAATATAGCCATAAGAATGGTAAAGACAATTACACCGACTCTCCACGCTAGACCCCAAACTTTGAGCTCTCGATCGACTGTCCAAATTGTAGGAAAAATCGTTTTGGGTCGACCTCTGAAAAATGCTCTTTCGAGGAGTTCACAGGCAGCATAATATGGCAGAGGATAAGACAATACAGCTTTGATTACTAGACAAAAATTGACCAAGCCTTTGAATCCAGCCGAGTGAAGATTATTCGTTATCACCTGCTGTGTATCATTCTGAAAAGTCAAAAAGCAAATCCATCCGAAGAGAGATTTAAAGGCTGCAGCAGCTATATGACTCCAGTTTAACATCCAATCGAACTTGGAACGATCTATTAGATTTCCTTCCAATGTCGGCAGAAAGATTTGAGAGGTGTAACTGAATACAATTACACCAAGCGAGATTGGAAAGTTTTTCATGTCTATAGTCCACTTAACTTTAGACCATCCCCAATCACCTATCTCCAAGATGCAATAACCGACGATAATGAAATTAATGAAAAGATGAGACATTGTACACCAAAAACTGAGCATAGAAACGTGTTGCAAGGATTTAAGAAACCCGAGTGGAAGTAAAAATATGCCTATAAGCATCATCCAACTTCTTGTGTCGATAGCACCTTCGGGAAAAGAACCAATCATTAAATCACCACAAACAACAACATATAAGATGCAGGTCATCAACAGCTCTATTATTTGTGCAATGTTAACTGCCCTTGCACCCCATCTTGGGCCGAAACATTCTTTAGCAATGGCTACATAGGAATCTCGTACTCTGACACGTTGACCTGTTACTGTATCTAACTCATACAAACACTCAACGAGAATCTTACCAGTGTAACAGCAGATATGTGCAATACCGACCATAGCTGCGATTGCCCAATAACCACCTCGCAGAACTGCAAATGGTAGAGATACGATGAACATTCCCTGAAAAGACATAAAGGTTTTATTTTTTATTCATTATATATAAAAGATTATTTTTTAATTGATGAAACTTGAAACAAAAAATATTCGTAATTTCATTCATTCACATTTCTTCTCTTACTTTTTATTTTATTTGTTTTTAATTAATTAAACTCTGATCACCTGAATGGCATTGGTAACATTCCATGCTGCTTGCCACTCGTTAATCTTCACACCAGATCCACCGAATTCTCCACCACCTTCATCATATTCGCTGAACTCTCCACTGCTCAAACTTCCTGTTCTAGCTTTGTCTCTATAAAAACAAACAGAAAACAACAAAATATATAAATAATTGCAATAATTCCTTCTTTTAACTTTATCTCCGTGAAAAAATATTCATTCTAATACTCATAAAAAAAAAAAAACTTACCCATTTCTCTGATAACTAAAAGAATCTTCAGCAACAGCAACGTTGTTCTGTTCTCTTTGTGCTTGTTCACCATTCATCATTGTCATCTCGGTATTATCTTCACCTTCTCCGAATGATTTAAATTCACCGGTACGAGTTTGAGGATCACCTTGACCAGCCATGCCTGTACCACGAATTAATTCCATACATGGACTATTTTCTGGCCATTTAGCTTTTAATGTTTCCCAAGCAACGTTAACTGTCGCCCCAAACGATGGTATATAAAATCCTTTGAAACTAGTCATCTTGTTGAAAGATTTTCTTCTGAATCTGGGACAATACGAATTTGATGGATTATATAATAATATATATTTGATAAGAAAAAATCAAATTAAACATACAATTATTCATACTTGTATATTTTCAAAAATGATCAAATTTCCTATTGTATTATGATCACCAAAAATATTTCACGCGCATTAACGTTGACCTACATAAATTAATTATTTCAACGAAAATAAGATCCTTCGAATTTCATATTAATTCTAAAATAATCTTTTTATACAATATATTATTATTAAAAAGTATGAAAAATTATTTTAATAGAAATAAAATTTGACTAAATGAGAAATATAATTACTTACAAAATCGAATTATTTCTTTTCTTTCACAGATAAAATTAAAATAGAAGGTCGAACCTTCTTCCTGGAGAAGAGACTCTACTACTGGTCTTTTCTTCTTCTTCTTTTTTTTCTTCTCGTTGAACAAGGAAACACGATTGCCAGGGAAACTAATATAAAAATTGATCCGGAATTTGAAAATAATGATCCATTTAATATAATAAGAATATGAATAAAAAGGATTTGAAAATGATTAAACTAAACTACGAGGAACACAAGAAGAGCATGGCGGTCTATGGGTGATCCTCCAGTTCCTAATCACGAACCCTTAATCGTCGCATTGACCAAGGAGGGATGTTCACTACTGGGATTGGAAGATTGGGGAATATGGCCAGCATCCCTCAAACGCGCAGGGCTCGATCGATCATCCACTCGCGGTCCATGGTATGGATGAGATACTACATCTGATTTCACGCTCGTCAAACATCATTTTTTACAATAGCATATTTTTTATACTTTCTTTTATTTATTCTTTATATATTATTTTATTTTTTTCCTTGAAAGATTTCTAATTTTTCTATGTTAATGGATCTATTTCTTATTAGTTTTTTCATTTTGTCATCAACATTTTTTTCGAAAAATTACAATTAATTTCAACTTCTATTTATTTATTTTTGGATCATTAAATCTATTCCAATTTTTTCGCATAAATTT